TCTCTCTCTCTCTCTCTCTCTCTCTCTCTCTCTCTCTCTCTCTCTCTAAATGTCAAGAGACCAACATAGGAGGGTACTTTATAGCTAGTGCTATACTACAATGCTACATTTTGGTCTGACCTTCAAAGACATTATTTTATCGTATTAACAACCTGCCCACCCGTCCAGTTGGGTCCATAGTTGGGTCAATATGCTTGTATGCAATGCAGCCATCAGAATGGACTCTTACATCTCTTAAATTCCACCAAATGTGCTTTTTATCTACTTAGAATTAGGGAGACAAATCCTACACACGACAGAAATTGATTTTGGGTGATCCAGAATTCATTGAAATGTGAAACAGTTAAAAAACCTCATGGATCAGGTTCAGTGTTTGTAAGTGCTTCTGAGTACTAATGTGAAATCTGAGTGTTAATTAACCTAGGAAAAACATTACATTCCCTAAGAACTGAAATGCAATCTTAGTGTGCCAATTATTACTAAGGAAGAAAGTCATAAACACACAGCTCTGCAAACACACACACTCCATATCCAAGTCTTACACCCCTACATCAACATCCCCTCTCTACATCTACACAGACGAGAAAAGACTTATCCAGGATTTCATACGTGGCAGCATTGAGAAAGCTGGAATAATTCTCAATGCTTTATATACGAACAGTATTTCTTACAGAATATTCTTCAGCTCAGTTTGAGGAAAGTTATCATGCTTCCTACTATACCAAAGCAGATCTTTCTTTCCATTTATGAAACCCAGGAGAGGAGACTTCCAGTTCATGTAGGCCACAGAGCTGGATGCTCTGTGATGAACATGATGTCACAGGTGAATGTGGAATTAGTACATTTGGGGGATCTGCTACATGTTTTATCTTAAAACACAGAGCTGATTGATATTCCGTGAAGAGAATGTATTTAGTGTATTCCACAGCCTAAATCATATACGAACCTCCACATATGAAAACTTTTAGCAAATTTTACTGTTACCATGAAATAAAATTGCCCACTGTCCAAATGAATTCTGCCGGTTTAAATTAACTTTAACAATTGTGATTCTGGTCCCTCTCTTGAAAAGCCAGTGCCCCTCTGTGATACCTTTTCTTTGAATGTGTCTCTGATGCTCTACTAATGCCTGTGCTCCAGCCCTGTTTTACCAAACAAGGAAAGGAATTCTGGTATTTCCATTTCTACTGTACACGACTCATAATACCTAAGGGGAAAGAATTATATCTTGTCCTTTGTTTTTGCTCTTCTGCTGGAAATTATGCCCTTTTAATGTACTCTGGGTTTACGTATTTAGTGTGTTTTATCTCTCAGATAGCTATTATTAAAACATACCGAGGAAGAACTCTAACAATAAATGTTAGCAATAAATAATGCTCACTGTTTTTAGAGCTTCTTTTTTTTTTAAATGCCAGCTATGATGGTAGACACTTTATGTATTTTATCTCAATCATTAACATCGTTCCTTAGAGATCGTAATCTGAGAGACACGGACATAAAAGCTGGGCATGGAACATTCTACTCCTTGACATCCGGACGTCTCTGCTCTCTCTGCCTCCTGAACTTCATGCAAATCAGCCTCACCTTAGACCAGTCACCAACTCGCCACACGTAGCATTTTGAGTAATCCTCACAGTCCTCTGCCTCCCTGGGTCTGGTGGAGAGGACACACTTCTTTCTTGGGTTAGTACACCTCACGGTACGATGCCGTACACCTTTGCCACACTTCACTGAGCACTGGAAGACAATATTAAAGGTTTGAGTAGAGTTGGTACATGCTATGGATTAAGGCATGTTCAATAATGGTTTCTGACATTTCTCTTATTATCAGAAGGACAACTAGGTATGGAACAGAACATGTCTATCATTTTCATATCATATACAATATGATGAAATTATGTACATGGATAATTTTCTGCATGTCTATACGGGGATGGGCTTTACGCATGTTTCATGTTAGTGTGTTTGTGGGGCTACATGCACTTACACACCTAAACTGCTTTGGAGAAGTCACTGAAGGTATGTGACTTCATCACTGTGGATTTACATGGAAAACACTTGTATATAGCACACTACAAGCTTGCAAGACTAGTTAGTATAGTGAGCCCACCTTGGTCTACAGTGTAACTTTATCACTTCTATAGGGGTTTTAAGTGAATTAATTCCTCCAATTTATACTGCTCATATGTATAAAACAGTAAGTAATTTTCTTACATTTTTGTAAGAATATACACATTGCTTATATACAAACTTCAAATATGAAGTAAAATCTCATTGCTTGCACATATTAAATGAATGCTAAATGTTAATTTTCTTTACCTTCTAAGTTTTCAGAGAGTCAAATATACACTTTAATGTGTGCCTTGCCAGCAGTACTCACAGCGTATACATGAAAATATCGAAAGTCTAAAATGTCCATGGAATGGTCTATGGGTTATGTGGATATCTTCACGTTTTTATATATTCAAAATCAGGTCTTTTCCTTTTGTATCAGCAAAAATAATAGTTCTATGTATCAACCATTATGTGTAGCGATTTGGAATGTGACACAGGATATACAGAAGGGAAGGGTCAGAGAAGAAAAGGGAGATGACATGGAGTAAGTACCATACCTCCGACCACACTCCGGCCTCCCACACTGTCATGCAGTCCTGTCCCTCGCAGCGCTGAGCAGTAGCGGGCTTTGGCCCTATGCAATCCCTCTCCCAGGCTCTAATTAGGGTTCCATTTTCCAGTTGCTGGGTACAGGCCACTTGTCTACTCTGGACTCCTTTTCCACAAGTTCGTGAACACGTGGTCCATTCCGTCATCATCCACCTAAAAGAAAGGCCATGGGTGATAATTTAAAAGATGTCTACTTACCACATACACAACACTCTTAGAGTTAGCTGAAGGTTAACTTCACTTAAATCATAATTACCTTGAACGTACTATACTTTGTGCATTTCCCTGAATGTTCCATAATTCTTATCTCTTTTATGTTCTTAATTCTCAGTCTTTAAATGTTGCCACTCCTAATATTCCAATGCTATTATGTCCCCTAACACATTCTATACAGAATAACCATGGATATAAAATGTTTTGGAACTGTTCCTTCTTTTTTGTTTGGTTTGCATTATAAATGTTCATAAAATCCAACTGTATTAGGAACTACAGCTATTGAGGCCATTTACAGAAAGGCAAATTGAATCAAACAGAGATTCAGTAAGTTAGAAGACATATCTCCCAGCTAGAGTTATATATGCTTTAGCCTAGCCACTGACTACCTCTGATGTAAACACAGACAATATGGGCTTAACATGATCTCATTTTAGTTTTTTTTTTTTTGGACTCTAATATTTTGTTTTCAGGTTTACTGATTTAATCACTCAGCCAAAACACACACACACACACACACACACACACACACACACACACACACACATTTTAACAATGATTAGGGTAGTAATACACAATTACTGTTACTTGTAATGATTTGGGACATATCACAATTCTTGGCCATCTACCCAAATTAACTTCAGGACAGAAGCATGCCCTGAAGGGTTAGTGGAATTTTTGCCCCTAGCAGACTGGAAGATAGAGTAGAGCCAGGAGAGAGGGTCAGCTAGTTCTGGGACTTTGTGTTCCAGGAACTTGGCTGACCACAAGGTAGATGATATGGTTGAATAAGATTGGGTTATTGAGAGAAAGGGCCTGTACTTCCCCATGATTGTTCCTTGAACCCTGTCACGTGCTGAATAATGGGCTGGGACTTTCCACTGGTACTTTCCAGCATCCCCCCTCACTCCCCCTGGTTTGTGTTTTTTTTTCCTTTAAATACCCTACTGTCCCCGAGCTGGGGGTCAAGCTCCTCTGCCCCTGTGTGGGTTACGAGTCTCGACCTCAGCACATTGATTTCCTGAAATATACCTCTTGCTGATTGCATCAAGTACGGTGTCTTGTGAGTCATTGGGTGGCCATGATCTCCTGAGTCTTGAGTGGGGGTCTTCACTCTCAGGGGTCTTTCAGTCCTATGTTAGCAACAGTCTCCCCTCCCATTTTAATGTATTTACAGGATGCTTGCAATGGGGAAGAGCCGTGTGCCTGTGCCTGTGTGTTGTGATGAAGTGAGGAGAATCACCAGGGCATTGACACAACACGGAGCTACCTTGTGAGGGCCAGTAAGATATAAACATGGTGACAGACAGTCTGTCTGATAGGTGAGATAACAGCTCCACAGGGACTATAAGGATAATATCAATGGCATGAATATGTGAGACCAAAGGAGGCTTCACATCCCAGGCACAATGGAGCAGACAGAGTCAGATTGGTTGCACTACTCAGAAGGCCCGGAATTTAAAACACATATTTATATGGCTATTGCAGGGCTGGCAAAATGACTCAGCGAGTTCAACTGTCTAAAAACAAGCCTAACAATGGGAGCTTAGTGGGACCCACAGGACCCACAGCCCCTATCAAGTGACCTCCACAGGAGTTCCTTGGCATCCCCTCTTCCCTTCCCTCCAAGCAACAGACAAACAAATATATAAAAATATCCTGTTTAACATTTGGGGTTAACTAAAACTGTATGAAGCAAAGCCACCAGAAAGGGGGCTAGTGTACTATAGAACACACATTTTGATATATCTTTAATTTATCTTTAAACTATACATGCATCTTCATCTTTACTTGTTCCTAAACAAACTATGTGCTGAGCTTGCCTTCAGAACAGTTTAAGATTTTACCTCACGCTATTTCTCTTCCTGGATCCTGACCAGGCTCCAGACAACTTCCTCTTCAAATGCTCTTCCGCCTCACTCGCAGGCTGGGGTATTTCCAGAGCTCTGCCACCTGGCTTGGGGCAACCCACAGGATTTCCTGGCTAGAGGGTGCCTGGCTCTTCTAAAGAATGGACTCCTCTTTTTTTGTACATTCATAAGTTGCTCAATGGCACAGATCAAGGCAAGTTCCTCTTCCAGTGTTCTTCCTCCCCACTCACAGGCTGGGGCATTTCCAGAGCTCTGCCACCTGGCTTGTGGCAACTCGTGGGATTGCTTGGCTAGAGGTTTTTTTGGCTTCCTGACAGACGTACTCCTCCTTTTTGCACATATGCAAACTTGCCACTAATAGCTTTTCATTAAACATTTCTAGAAATGGAATTTAGGTTTTTATGTTCTATGGGAATAGTTAACAATTATATCAAAGTTAATCAAGCCCAAACCTTTCTGGCAATGATCCACATTTTGAAGCATTATATTCTCTTATAGTCCAGTGTGCATCTGCAAAGATGGTTTAATTTTGGTAATATTTGTGTTTTTACTTCTGAGAGCAAAAGAGAAGAAAGCACGCTCACACTTTTCTTCCACTTCCACTAGGGTCCCTTAGTTGATATTTTTTCCTAAAGCGAATAATTAGCCACCAAATTTAGCTTGGTTTCTGCTTTTTATTTCTGCAAACATTCTGGAAATAATCAAAACTTAAATTTTTCTTTTAGTGCCCTTTTCCTCAGACTTTAGAACCGAAGATATAGCTGAAAAAGAGTCTGTGTGATTGATGTCATGGAACCTCGCAGGTTTACAGCAAACCTGACTATCACATGCTCAATAGAAAGATGGATGTTATTTGTTTTAACTCATTGGTAATTCCTCAAAAGAAAGATGTAAACTATCAATTTTCTAACAGGATAAGAGCATTTTCTATGTTTTAGAGTTCATCTATCTAGGAATGACCTCATCTGTAAGACATTACAGAGATATTTAGTCATTAGATATTTATTTAGCCATTTAATTATTTTCTTCATTGATATAATAACATCATTTCCCCTTCCACACTCTCTCACATTTCAAATTCATAGCCTCTTATTTCATTAACTATTGTTACATACATATATGTATATAGATATATGTATACATATATATGTCTAAATATTCCAATGAACCTACTCAATATGTATTATGTTACTTGTATACATATTTTCTCTACTGTATATTTTGTATTCGGCACATAAGATGACACAGGCTATTTGGTGACATTTTTTGCAGTAGATGTAAGTGAAAGTTTATACTATTGTCAGAGTAACAGGATGTAGAATCAACCTGGAAACAAAATTCAGGACATGCCTATGAGAGGTTACTGAGATTAGGTTAACTGATGAGGAAAAAAAATCACTTTATATGTGGGCAGCACCACTTCCAGAACAGAGATCTTGAACTTCAGAAAACAAAGAAAGTGAGCTGAGTACTAGTATCCATCACTCCGCTACCATACTCTGGATACAATGTAACCTACTGTGTCAAGTTCTTGCAGCTCTAGCTTCCCCATCCTGATGGACAGTACCCAAACTCTGAGCCACATAAGCACACTGTGCCTTAACCTGCTTTCAGTTTGCTTCAACACTTTCTCATTTTGCATATGTAGTAGTTGTGTGTAGTTACATAGATACATGCTTTCCATATCACACAACTGCAGGTAAGAGTCAATTTTCTCTTTCCACTGTGTGAGACTCAGGAAATGAACTCAGATGCTCGGGCTCGGTGGCAAGCCTCTTCATCCACTAAGTTATCTCACTGCCCCCTGAAGATGCTTGGGACATATAGTGTGAATGAAACTACAATGTTTTCTGGGGAGACTTAAGAGAAGCCACGGGGAAAAAAAACAGGGAAGTGCTGTATGAGCAGGTCTTGGAAAGATACCCTGTGATGATTGCACTGTGATTTATCTTGTGTGCCTGGCCCTTTAAAGGCTCCCCAATTGCTTGTCAAGTGACCCTATAAGAATTCTTAGCTGCTAGAACTGCTTGTCCCTATGACCTTCAGTGCTGGTTGACTCTTGGATTTCTGAGAACAGGATAGGAGATAGAAAAGCCAGCAGAGGCTGGGGTGGGGGAGGGGCTAGCAGAGTGAGAGGAGAAGGCAGTTGATGCAGAAGGAGAGAGTTGAGCTACGAGAAGCTGGGCTGAGCAGATGGGCTAGAATGATTGTTACAGTTTGGAGCTGCTAGTATTGGGAAAACTCAGAGAAGAGACTGTTCATGAAGAGTGTTGGGGAACTGAGGGAGGAACACTTGGAAGAAATGTTTGAAGAGGCTGTGCTGGAAACTGGGAAGAAGCAGGTGAGAGTTAAGCTAACTGGTCACTGTTCTAAAACAGCTGGCCATTTGGCAGCCATTGATCCTTACCAACTAACTGCCCATGTTCACTCCTTGCGCTCCTCACTGACATGGCTTCCTGTTCAAAGACAGTGCTTCCTTTCTCATGGAAGAAAGGTAATATTCCCTAACAAAATCCACTTCTACTCTGCTGCAAAATTTTCTCTCGAAATTGCCTTGTATAAATGATTCTTTTAGCAAGTCTTCACTAAGCATCCTCCTCCAAGGTGGCTGACTGCCTCAGTTGATAAACAAAAGCTGAGCTGCACACGCTTCAAAGAAGACGTGAGGAGGAAAGCAGAATGCTCTAGGCCTGTAATTGTAAGCATGTTCAAGATCCCAGATGCAGCAGAGAAAGCTACTGCATTCAAACAAAAGTATGTGTTAGGTAAAATAAATTGTGTTTTAATGGTAAGAATATCTCATTAAATAAATTATCATTTCATAGCAAGGTATGGGTGTCTTTAATCCCAGTACTTGGGAGGCAGAGATAGGGAGATCTCTGTGTTCAAGACCAAGCTGGTCTATAGAGGAAGTTCCAGGTCAGTCACACAGAGAAACCTTGTCTTGGAAAATCAAATAATACAATATAATATTATATGTTTATAATATTAATATAATAATACATTATTTATATGTATTTATATGTATTTATAATAATATAATAGTAATGATGATGGTGATGATGATTATTATATAATTATTATAGGGTGCATACTAATGTACTACTTCTGCAAATTATTTTCAAATCATCCCTTTATTCTTTTAAAGTGGATACCTATGTAGAGGTTAGGTCTGTCAGTAGAAAAGGGGAAAATTAGGAATCAGATTTCGATAACTTATGAACACTGAAGCCACAGCAAAATAAGACTTGAAACTTTAACACTGTAAAGGAAGAAAAGATTCTCTAAACATTTTCAGTTTTTTTCAATATGGAATAAACTCACTAAGTAGGGCCTAACAATTTTGTTTTGCAACTCAGTGGGAACAGGAAGGGAGACTTGAGCATCAAGAGAGAACAGAAATAAAGCCCAGGTGTGAACATCTACCTAGATGACGCTAATTCCCAAAGAAATTTAAGTACCAACATGAAATTAGCTTAACTGGTGGTTTTGTTCCTCCCTCTAACTGTGTATCTTCCTCCCATGATTCCTTTTTGTGGTAGAAAGTTATGGGGCAGATTAGCTGTACAGGATAACAAGGCTGTACATTCTTCGCATGTCTGAGTCTTAGGGTGTGCAAATTCTCCTGAATTCCATTTCCAAAGCTGTTATAAAGGGGGATCAATTCTCTGACTTTCAGAGAATGTTCAACTCAGTCTAATGCACCCAGTCTAGACAATCCTGAGTGTCAGATAAAGCAAGCATTCTTCCACCACACTAGAGGAAGCAATGTAGCTTCCTTTTTTTTATCCAACCACCTCTAATCATGGTAGAACTTGAGACATTGAGCTGTCTGACTTTAAATCTGCCAATCTTTTTCAGGAGAAAGCATCTGAATTTTCAGATCCCAATCTGCTTCCTAAGGCAGGACTGGCTCATCTTCTTCTATACTCGTGGCTGTCACCATTGCTATTTTGTTCCCTGTTCATGTGCCTTGACTGTCTTGTTACCCAGTACTCACTGAAGAACCCATCAGACAAAGTACTGGGCAGCTTATCTTCAGACCTTTAGAAGAAGAACTCAGTACCTGGCTGCCAGGCCCAGAAGGGACCACATGTCTCCCATTGTCTTGCTGGGGTGGGGCTGCTCAGGCTTGCCACTTCCTCTTGTTGAATTTTACTATCTCATTTCAGAGAATGCTGAAGCAAATAGCGAGATTAACCACAGTTAATTAAACAATAAGTTTGAAGAGGTGACTCATTGGTCCTTCTTAAACTTAATACATAATTACTCTTTGTCTTCACATTCTTGAGGAAGTTACTTACAGATCTTAACCCTACTCACTCAGATCTTGCTTATTTAAGTGTTTACATTTGGCTATGTGGTTCTTTTGAAGGTTCTAACATAAAGGCGATTTTCATACTAGCCTGTGTTAGGTCTAAAGCAAAGCCATGTAACGGTGTGTAGAGTACAGTTACCTTGTTTGACAAGGTTGCTCATTGCACTTCCGAATCTGTGGCTCTGGCTTGGTCAAGTCCTTGCATTTCTTGTTGTCCACAAGGCTGATATTCTTGCTCATGATTTTTGTGCAGGACACTGTTGTCTTCCTCTCTCCTGCAAAGGGCAGATGGACATATACCATGAAGTCATTCCAGGCTTTTGTGAAATGGATATTATCCTAAAATTAAATTAATTTGGGGTTATACCAGTGAATATGACACTATGTAAAAGTTACATAACAAAATGTACCTCTGGGAAAAAGAATTTTTCCTTCAAAGGTTAAAGATGGTTGCTATGTTACCAAGAGGTGTTGGTAGGATAAGTTAATTATGTTGATTGAAAATGTATCTTTCAGCAGTAAGTGGTCAGACGTTCGTTCTGTGTGTAGAGAACATTCTGATACTGTTCTCCATGATGAAAATTCCCCAAAGCACATGAACAAGTACATGGACATGTATAGATTTCATTGCTATTATGTACATTAGCAGTGTTCTATAGCAAGGTATAGAAAGTACTGCTTTTTTTTTTTTTAGTGTACCTTACTGTTTCATTCGTAATGCTTCGGACAAAAGCCCTAAGACCTCTAGAAATGACTCACTTCTTTTTTAATAAAAACTATGAGCTTATTATAATAAAAATTTTTAATAATAAAACTATTGGATTTTGTGTTCATTTTTCCTAGAGACACTAATTGACAATAATGCCAGTATCATCATTAAAAGTCTAGTGTGTTCTAATTTCTTTTTCTTAGTATAGTCCTTATAAATAACATCCATGTATGAGATTCAATAATATGCTTATTGATTGATTAATGTTATCAGCAACAAATGTAAAGCCAGAGAGTCATTTGATAAAATGTTATCTGCCCACAAAAGGACCGAATTACTGGAATAATAATTTATGGATGAATCAGCATGTTGATATTAAAAATCAAGCTTGCAAAGAGTTTATGAGAATACAGATTTGTTCCTATTATATCAAGTAAAATAGAAAATAAAATCACATTTTATTACTGAAGAAAATGCTGAAGAAAAATGGGTAACTACATTTTAGTTCAGGGTTTTTGTTTGTTTGGTTGGTTGGTTTGGTTTTGATTTGTTAATGACATGTCTTTGAACCAACATAGAAGAGTAACTTCAAAGCTGAAAATCAAGACAATGATATCCCTAAAACTTTATTTTTCTGTCAAGCATATTCTAAAATATTTAAAAGGTACAAGCATCTGAATGTTCTTTATCTAGTGGTGGGCTCCTATGAAGTCTCCTATCTACCTTGTGATATCAATGTTGTCATTACATGAGTCTTGGCTGGGTAACAGTACTGTTGAGAATTTCAAGGAAGTAGCTTCTGTGTCATGTCCAGAAGACTTGCTCTCACAGTTGGCATCCTGGTTCTCCAACTATTAAGAATTCTTCCTACTGCTTCTAGGATGTTTCACTGAACTTTAGGTGTGGAATTTCATTATAGACATTTCAACAAGGTTGAAAACTCCACAATTATTTTCTGCATCAGTTATTTTTCTGCTGTAATAAAATATTTTGACCAAAACAACTTTGGTGAAAGTGTTTACTTTGGCTTGCAGCTCCAGAAGGGTAATAGCACTTTATGGTGGGGAGGCATGGTATCAAGCAGCAGGCACTGCACTGCATCCAGGCACTAAGCTGTCACATCTTCCATCACAAATACAAAGCAGAGTGTGGGCAGAGTGTAAACTCCCAAAGCCTGTCCCTGTTTACATACACTTCCTCCAACAAGGCTCCATCTCTTAAAGGTTCCATAGTAGCCCTAGACAGTGCTACTAGTTGGAAACCCAGTGTACAAATATCTGAGTTTGTGAGGGTTACATCTCATTCAAACCTGAACACCTGCTCTCTGTATTTTGACCAGTACATCTCTGTAATTCTCCTCCTCTTCAAATGAGTTATTTTTTATTTTTCTTTAGTTATGAGGGCTACACTTATCCATGAGTATATGAACAAATATTTAGAAAGCAGTTAGAAGTTATATAGGCTTAGGAAAATGGCAATAATATGTTCTCTAAGATCAAGTATAATTGGCTATGGTCATAGTACCACCAATGAATTCCTTCCCATTGAGAAGGAGCTTTGTTCAATGAGTCAGCTGTTGGCTATCCCTAAGATAAAAGTACTAGGTTGCCCCACTGGGAGAATCTTGGTATGCTAGTCATTTCTATGATTTGTAAGCTTTAAAACAAGGTAAAACTATCAATTGCCCTTTTCCTTTGGCTGTTGCATAGCACCTTCTGATAGTTTAAGAGCCAGTTCCCGGGAAGAGGTTTCCAGATCAATTACACCCTGATTCCTCAAAGCCTCATCTAAAATGCATAGTCTTCAGCAATAGGGATTTGCTTTCAAATTCTGGGAAGCATCCAAGGGCAACAGTAGCAGTAGGGTTTTTTTTTTTTTTCGGGGAAGGGATCTCCTGGACCAACAACTTAAAGGTTCCTATACCTGGCACTTAGATTTTCAAGTGTGTGTGAGTAGACACAAAATTATTTTGTATATCTCTAAGCAAGCCTACAAACCTAGTGTTTTCTTATGCTTTTTAAACTTTATTTTTACTGACAGTCGCCTATCCTTCTGCATCACCTCCCTCCTTTCCTCACAGCCAAAGGTTCCTCCCCTGTTTCCCACTTCCTCCCTCTGCAGTACCAGGAACTTAGATTTTATAAAGCACAGGATGAAGCTTTTATCAGTGAGTGTGCGACACTCATATGTCTTTATCTTTCTTTCCTTCCCTCTATACACACACACACACACACACACACACACACACACACACACACACACACAGTGTTATATTCCAAATTGTTGGAAAGGTAGCATTATTGTTAGTATTCATTGTGTAGAATTCCTTAATAGTTTCTCTCTTTTTTTGTATCTGTATTTTGAAACACCTGATATTTATAAACTTGATTAATAAACTTGACATTAATAAAATTAATATTCACAATGAACTAAATTTAGTTTAAGGTTTAATGTCAAAACACAGTTTAAGATAATCGTGATAAATTATTACTGGACAACACAGCACATTTTTATTTCTTTTCTCCACTTACTACTGTGTATTTAATTCTATACAACACAATTAGGAGAGGAACCATTGAACACTGAAAGGTGATACTGCTCAGGGATGCTACGTGCTCTCCTTTCTGAGCCTGCAAAGATGCTATCATTTCTCCTTGTTCTGTTGAAGGTAACTCCTGTGAACCTGTTTTTAATATTCTGCGCTTTGAACTGATGCTCATTTAATTCATGAATATGCTGAAAGATGACAAAGTTCTTTCTGGCAATAAAGTCAACAAAGCAAAGTTAGAGATGATGCCATTCTTGAAATGATGTCCACACACTTTATGAACTGAAAGAGGAAAGAATATCCAAAAGTCCACAAATACTTTGTCAAAGAAATAAGTATGTGAACTATTAATGTGGAGATTATTATTAAAAACTGTTGACTGAATAGTGAAACTCCATTAGGAGAAGATTTACACACACACACACACACCCTGTAAGAGTTACATTTAGTGATGACATTTTATAAAACCAGCTAGGGGAAATAAAAATTTGGATGGCTACAGTGTTATCTAAATGTATATATTCAAGCATCTTTCTGAATCCAAAGAATTCCTGAATGGTCAATGGCCAATGAAGAACATGATCTTATACCGGAAAGGGCTATATGAAGACTCTGAGCTACCCCCAAAAGCAATATGAGGAAGAGAAAACCTTGAATTTAGATGTTGTAGACACTAATCCTGACCACCCCTACATGGACATGTGACACTGAAATATTACTATTCTCTATGCACTCCAGTTTCTCACACTAGAAAATCAACTCACTTTGAAGAATACTTCATATTCCTGCTGACTCGGAAACTCAGACGCCATAGTGACTCTCTATTGCTTGATGTTTAGAAATTGACAAAATATTTCCTAAGGCCCACAGAAATAATCACTAACCTTAAATGATTTGCTTTTCAAGCTGAAGAATTACACATTGTATTTAACTAATTTTGATGCAGCTTTCATCAGACCACAACTGCAGAGAAACGAAAAATGGACATACTGCAGTGGGCAAGTTCTTTGCTGCCTAGATTTTTTCCTTTCCTTTTTTTATTAGTTATTTTATTTATTTACACTCCAAATGTTGTCCTTAATCCTGATTTCCCCTTGCAAACACCCTATTCCATCCCCTCTGATCCTGCCCCTATGAGGGTGCTTGCCCACACACACACCCATGCCCACTCTCCACCCTAGCATCCCCCTATGCTGGGGCATTAAGCCTCCACAGCACCAAGGGCCTCCCCTCCCATTGATGCCAGACAAGGCCATCCTCTGCTACATATGCAACTGAAGCTATGGATCCCTCCCTGTATACTCTTTGGTTGGTGGATTAGTCCCTGGGAGCTCTGGGTGGGGGGTGTCCAATAAGTCAATATTGTTGTTTTTCCTATGGCGTTGCAAACCCCTTCAACTCCTTCAGTCCTTCCTCTAATTCTTTCATTGATGTTCTTGTGCTCAGTCCAATGGTTGGCTATAAGCATCTGCATCTGTATTGATCAGGCTCTGACAGAGCCTCTCAGGAGACAGTTGTATGGGGCTCCAGTCAGAAAGCACTTCTTGGCATCAACAGTAGTGTCTGCAGACAGGATGGAACCCTGGGTGGGGGCGGTCTCTGGATGGCCTTTCCACAGCCCTCCCCATTCCACTGTCTATATTTTTAAATGTAAAAAGGATTTAATGTCTCAGTGATGAGGTAGATTACCAGTTTCTTTATTATTCCCTATTTCATAGTCTATCGCATGGGGTAGTGGTCAGGCAGTGGAATACATGTATAATTGAATCCTGGAGTTACATTACAGAATATTTGCAACTGCACACTTTCCTTGGGGATGTTTGCTTCTATTGGTCTTGTCTTTTCTCCCTCACTTCTCTCTACCCCTCCTTTTGTCTGTTGGATGGAAGCAGAATCCCTTGATGTAGATGGCCATGTAAAGAAGTGACAAGCAGAGGAACAGAGACTTGGGCGGGAAGGAGATGCAGGGCTAGGAGAATGGGGGTTCCCCATAGGTGTGGTGATATTGGAATCAAGCG